CTCTAGTTTGTGATACAGAACATATGCCATGCAGTAGTCACCATCTGCTCACCCACTGAAAGCCGTATTTAATAATATAGAGCCATGAACCTTAATTTAGGTCTCACGGCCCACAGGTTGGGTACCACTTCTCTAGAGCCATTTCATTTGTCTTTTCAGCAGTTCATTTTATCTACCGAACTCTTCTCTGCCATCACTTCTCATCAAATGAATGTATTTCCTTCCTATTGGCTTTTTTCACTGTCCAGTTTGCACAACCACACACAGAGAAGAAGAGTCCAAAACTGGTCAAAGTGTCCCTGGTCAAGTGGTCTCTGGCCAAAGTGGTCCCTGGTCAAAGTGGTCCCTGGTCAAAGTGGTTCCTAGTTAAAGTGGTCCCTGGTCAAAGTGGTCCCTGGCCAAAGTAGATCCTGGTCAAAGTGGTTCCTGGTCATAGTGGTCCCTAGTCAAAGTTGTCCCTGGTCAAAGTGGTCCCTGGTCAAAGTGGTTCCTGGTTAAAGTGGTCCCTGGTCAAAGTGGTTCCTGGTCAAAGTGGTTCCTGGTTAAAGCCGTCCCTGGTCAAAGTGATCTCTCGTCAAAGTGGATCCTGGTTAAGGTGGTCCCTGGTCATAGTGGTCCCTAGTCGAGTGGTCCCTGGTCAAGTAGTCCCTGGCCAAAGTGGTCCCTGGTCACAATTGTCCCTGGTCAAAGTGGTCCCTGGTCACAATGGTCCCTACTCAAAGTGGTTCCCTGGTCAAGTGGTCCCTAGTCAAAGTGGTCCCTGGTCAAAGTGGTCCCTGGTCAAAGTGGTCCCTGGTCAAAGTGGTTCCTTGTCAAAGTGGTCCCTGGTCAAGTGGTCCCTGGTCAAAGTGTCCCTGGTCAAGTGGTCTCTGGTCAAAGTGGCCCCTGGTCAAAGTGGTCCCTACTCAAAGTGGTTCTTGGTCAAAGTGGTCCCTGGTCAAGTGGTCCCTAGTCTAGTGGTCCCTGGTCAAGTGGTCTCTGGTCAAAGTGGTCCCTGATCAAAGTGGTCCCTGGTCAAACGGTCCCTGGTGAAAGTGGTCCCTGGTCACAATGGTTCCTGGTCAAAATGGTCCCTGGTCACAATGGTCCCTGGTGAAAGTGGTTCCTGATAATAAAAAAAAAGTTTGGGAACCACTGTTCTAGAGCGAATCAAACCTAGACTCTCCCTAGAAGCCAAGATGACTAAGCTGAGGCAATCCTACTTTGGACATACCATGAAAAGAGATGACTAGAAGATATGATATAAAGCTTGGGGAGCTGGAGGGAAAAGTTGGATAGACTCAAACAAGGAAGCCATGGCTCTGAGTATGCAAGGCTTGAGCGGATCTGTTCCTGGTAAGATGGCCTGGAGGTCTCTCATTCATAGAATCTCCAAACAACAAAGTAGCTGCTGGATATTTACCTTTTGGGATCTCTAGACTGCATTAGCTTAATATTGCACTGTATGATCATACGTCTCGTCCAACATTATCGTTTGCGAGTTGCTCATGGACTGTTTTGAATAATCCGTTGCTTGATGTGTGTCCCCAAGGTCTACTTTCTGTCTTATGAAACGATGTTATCCATCTCACAGTACCGTGATTTAAATGCTTGGAAATACCACTTAAAGTTTTATTGGGTTGTCATAAAGCTGAAGTTATTAGACTAATCCAAGAAGGTTCTTTCTCTATGATGGTTTAATATCTCCCTATCTACGGCATAATCTATCTCCCTTAGCTATAGCTGTTTTCGGTTTCTGTTTGATTGGTGTGGGTTAAGACTATTTCCTGCCCAAGCACTAAAAACACATATATTCCCACACCCTTTACCAGATTTGATCTTTTCTTTTGAATGCCCTGTTTAAACAAGTTGTCTATTTATCCCAACCTCCGGGGCGGGGGAGGGGGGAAATCGCTGAACTCCCATCATGGAACAAACACATCAACTTTTCAAAAGAATGAGCGCTGAAATGAACAGAAACCCTGCCTATCTGTCCTCTCTGTGATTGATATTTAAATGGAAGTGCTCATAAATCAATAGTCGCCTTTCAAGCAAGGCTTCCTCCCCTCTTTTCCCAGAGTGAAAGCAAGTGAGATTGAGACTGTGCCACTCAAGATGAGGTTGGAACCGCTTGTAGCCCAGGTTGTGTAGAATGAGATACACACCGAGAGATTGTATATGTTTCAAATGCAAACAAAGAGGGTGCATAAGCTTTAAATTGCTCCTTAGTTGCATGCTAATTATAGAATCATAGCATCAAAGAGTTGGAAGAGACCTCATGGGCCATCCAGTCCAACCCCCTGCCAAGAAGCAGGAATATTGCATTCAAATCACCCCTGACAGATGGCCATCCAGCCTCTGTTTAAAAGCTTCCAAAGAATGGAGAGGGGATTCCTGTCTCTGGGTATATACACTCACTCACTCACTCACTCACTCACTTACTTACTTACTTACTTACTTAGGCGATCCCTCGTTGGCCTTCCAACGAGAGATAGTCTTCCAAGATCAATATACTGGTGGGTCCATAGGTGACTGTGGAGCCCTATTCTTGATCTGCATCTTCTCCCGCAGTGAGGGCATTGGTTTCCAGGTGGAAGGCGGTCTCGGTCAGGGTTGGCTTGACACGCCTTCCTCTTGGCATGTTTCTCTCTTTCACCCTCCATTCGTGCCTCTTCAAATTCTGCAGCACTGCTGGTCACAGCTGACCTCCACCTGGAGCGCTCAAGGGCCAGGGATTCCCAGTTCTCAGTGTCTATGCCGGAGTTTTTAAAGTTGGATTTGAGCCCATCTTTAAATCTCTTTTCCTGTCCACCAACTTTCTGTTTTCTGTTCTTGAGTTCGGAGTAGAGCAACTGCTTTGGGAGACGGTGGTCAGGCATCCGGACTACATGGCCAGTCCAGCAGAGTTGATGGCGGAGGACCATCACTTCAATGCTGGTGGTCTTTGCTTCTTCCAGCACGCTGATGTTTGTCCACTTGTCTTCCCAAGAGAGTAGGATTTTCTGAAGGCAGCACTGATGGAATTGTTCCAGGAGTTGCATGTGATGTCTGTAGACAGTCCACGTCTCGCAGGCATATAGCAGGGTTGGGAGGACAGTAGCTTTATAGACAAGCACCTTGGTATCCCTACGGATGTCCCAGTCCTCAAACACTCTCTGCTTCATTTGGAAAAATGCTGCACTCGCAGATCTCAGGCGGTGTTGTATTTCAGTGTCGATGTTGACTTTGGTGGAGAGGTGGCTGCCAAGGTAGTGGAAATGGTCAACATTTTCTAATGTTACACCATTAAGTTGTATCTCTGGCATTGGAAAGGGGTTGGCCGGTGACTGCTGGAAGAGCGCTTTGGTTTTCTCAATGTTCTATAACAGGCCGAGCTCCTCGTATGCTTCTGCGAAGGTGTTTAGAGTGGCTTGTAGATCTTCTTCTGAATTTGCACAGACGACGTTGTCATCAGCATACTGGAGTTTTATAACAGATGTTGTAACCTTGGTTTTGGCTTTCAGTCTGCTGAGGTTAAACAGCTTGCCATCTGTCCGAAAGATGATTTCCACTCTGGTGGGAAGCTTCCCAGCAGCAAGATGATGTATCATAGCGATGAAGATGCAGAATAAAGTTGGGACAATAACACATCCCTTTTTGACACCTGATTCCACCTTAAATGGGTCACTTTGGGAGCCATTGCTGTCCAAGACTGTTGCCATCATGTCTTCATGTCATATACGCTGTAAAATTAATGCAGATTGACACTGCCCTAATTGCCATAGCTGAATGCTGTGGAATCCTGGGAGTCATAGTTTGGTGAAACACCAGCACTCGTTGACGGAGAATGAGAAAGATCTTATAAAGCTACGACTCGCAGGATTCCATAACATTGAGAAATGGTAATTTAAGTGGTCAAATTGCATTAATTCCGGCGTAGATGCTCAGTAAAGTGGTGCCATATTGCACTAATTATATAGGGCAATTATATTATAAACTAGCTGTACTTGCCACGCATTTCTCTCCTTTCCCTCCTTCCTTCCTTCTTTCCTTCCTTTCTTTCCTTTTCTTCTTTCCTTCTATGCTTCCTTCCTTCTCTACCTCTTTCCTTCCTTCCCCCTTTTCTTTTGCTTCCTTTTTTCTCTCCTTTCTTCCTTCTCTACCTCTTTCCTTCCTTCCTTTGCTCTTTCCTTCTTTATTTCCTTCTTTATTTCCTTCTTTCTTTCTCTCCTTCCTTCCTTCCTTCCTTCCTTCCTTCCTTCCTTCCTTCCTTCCTTCCTTCCTTCCTCCCTACCCCCCTCCCTCCCTCCCTCTTCCTTCCCTTTTTTTTCTGTGTCATCATTTAGCTTTTCTTCATTTAGCTTTATTGGGTTTTTAAGTCCTTTCTGCTGTTTTGGGGGGTTTAATGAGTGATGGTCACTCGTTGATCTGTTAAGGGTATAGTGTCCAAATTTCGTGTCAATTCATCCAGTGGTTTTTGAGTTATATTAATCCCACAAACGAACATTACATTTTTATTTATATAGATAATTATATAGCAATTATATTATATATAATTATATAGCCCACAGTGGGTAAAAGCACTGAGCTGCTGAGCTTGTTGATCGCAGGTTCGATTCCGGGGAGCGGCATGAGCTTCCTCTGATAGCCCCAGCTTCTGCCAACCTAGCAGTTCGAAAATAGATCAATAGGTACTGCTCCGGCAAGAAAGTAATGGCGCTCCATGCAGTCATGCCAGCCACATGACCTGGAGGTGTCCACGGACAACACCGGCTCTTTGGCTTAGAAATGGAGATGAGCACCACACTCCAGAGTCAGACACGACTGGACTTCATGTCAGGGGAAAACCTTTACCTTTACTATATAGTGTAGATCAGGCATGGCTGCTAGGAATTGTGGGAGTTGAAGTCCAAAACTCCTGGAGGGCTAAAGTTTGCTCATGCCTGGTGTAGATAAACTCGGAATCTGCGGCCTATTATAAAAATTTCTTGGACTTCTGAAGTTCATTTTTATAACATAGTTCCTCTTTCTCTACCTTCTAGGACTATGACTCTGATCTTGGCCAACTACTATTTAGCACAACGACAAAGAGGACATTAGAGATGCTGTGAACCTGGACTTCAGGTCTCTGCAAAACATCTGCACATGGTCTCACCATACCAAGACTGCAGGTAAGACCTTATGCTTCGCTCACTTTGCGGGGTGGGTGTTGGTCAAAAAATGGCTAAAGATTAGCCCTGAAGGTGTATGCACAGGTAAGATTCGAATAAACATCATTCCTCTTGGCATGTCAAACCATCCCACCTTTGCCTCTTATCAATATGTTTGACTGTTTTTACTTTGTCCTGAGATAATAGTCCACGCTCTGGTTACATCCCGTTTAGACTACTGCAACGCTCTCTACGTGGGGCTGCCTTTGAAGACGGCCCGGAAGCTGCAATTAGTCCAACGCTCGGCAGCCATGATACTAACAGGAGCGGAGCGCAGGGAGCATACAACTCCTCTGCTGCACCAGCTCCACTGGCTGCCGATCTGCTACCGGGCTCAATTCAAAGTGCTGGCGTTGGCCTTTAAAGCCCTAAACGGTTCTGGCCCAACTTACCTATCCGAACGTATCTCGGCCTATCAGCCCACCAGGACCCTAAGATCTTCTGGGGGGGCCCTACTCTCTATCCCGCCTGCTTCACAGGTGCGGCTGGCGGGGACGAGAGACAGGGCCTTTTCTGTGGTGGCCCCGCGGCTATGGAACGCCCTTCCCATGGAGGTAAGATCAGCTCCCTCATTGATGGTATTCAGGAAAAGACTAAAAACGTGGATGTTCGAGCAGGCGTTCGGTTAACTCAGTGCAATAAGTGTAATGATTGAAGGACTGGCAATCTGGACGACGAAACTGGATCACGATTTTAGTCAAGAGATGAATTGGATTGTTTATTGATATATGTACTGTGGATTATGTTTTTATGCTTTTAAACTGTATACTATTGTTTGTTATAAGTTGTTGTAAACCGCGTTGAGTCGCCGGCTAGGCTGAGAAACGGCGGTATACAAGTATAGCAAATAAACAAATAAAAATAATAATGACGAAACCTTTTGGAACATACTACATTATAACCTCCGGGGTAGCCTTGTGCATTTGTATAGAATCTGTTTTTGTTTTCGAGCACCGCCTTTCTGAATGAGCTTTTTCATTCTGGGTCCGAAAGAACAAACATTTTTGGATGATTGACCAACATGGGTGGACTTCCCAGACTCCCCTTCCCCTCAGTTTTAGGACTAGAGTGGTGAAAATCACCACACATGTAGGGCACATCTACCACTCTTGGCCCACCAAGTTTTATAACATTTGGGTCCATTTTTAAGGACTTTTTTTCTTTCTCTAAATTAAATCTCTTTAAATCTCCTTTAAATCTCCTTTAAAAGTTCTTGAGTTCAGAGTAGAGCAACTGCTTTGGGAGACGGTGGTCAGGCATCCGGACAACGTGGCCGGTCCAGCAGAGTTGATGGCGGAGGACCATCGCTTCAATGCTGGTGGTCTTTGCTTCTTCCAGCACGCTGACGCTTGTCCACCTGTCTTCCCAAGAGATTTGCAGGATTTTCCGGAGGCAGCACTGATGGAATCGTTCCAGGAGTTGCATGTGGCGTCTGGAGACAGTCCACGTCTCACAGGCATATAGCAGGGTTGGGAGGATAATAGCTCTATAAACAAGCACCTTGGTATCCCTACGGATGTCCCAGTCCTCAAACACTGTCTGCTTCATTCGGAAAAATGCTGTGCTCGCAGAGCTCAGGCGGTATTGTATTTTGGTGTCGACTTTGGTGGAGAGGTGGCTGCCAAGGTAGCGGAAATGGTAGCTCCCTCGATGGACTGTCACCTTGTCGTGGTGAGGGGGCTTGCGTGTTCCGATGAACCTGTGGGCACAACAACTGGAGTCGTGCACTCCCAGGAGTGGCCGGGGGGGAGGTTCCAGACCAAGCACAGTCCGAAGACCCAAAGACCTCAACGGCGGAGCAGGCGGAGGATAACATGGTACATGTTACAATGGCTGTGAAGGCGGAAGAAGGCTGCGACAGATTGAGAAGCCACGGTCATTGTGTTAAACTACCAGTGGAACCTCACTCTGTGAAGACTGTGTGTTGATCAGTTGTGCACTGACCTCCACACATTAAAAAAAATTACGCACAAGCGTCTTCCAAAGAAAATAAAAACAAACCAACCAAAGTCCCATGGCAATCAGCGAGTGGCGATGGGGGCAAGACTGTATGGATAATACTCCTATATTAGTAGATGTAACATACTCTGATTCTTCCGTTCCAATCAAATTACAAAAAAACTTACAGTGCTCTAAGTAAGTTTACGAGGGACACATTCACAGTCCTGCTGAGCCACATGCCGCCCATGGTCCACAGATTCTGACTCAAGCCTGGCGTAGATGAGCCCTTTGTTGTTAATGCCTTAGGAAAACTTTTTCTTAGCCACTCCAGAATGAATTGCTATTCAATCAGGCTTTTGTCTGGCCTGTTTGTTGAGACTGGAAATGTGACGGCAGCAGAATGCCATATTGCCAAACGGCAAAAAGCAGCATTCAGCTGGCATGGGTTTTGACAGCTTGAGGCACCGCCAGTTTCCATAATAGAAAACGCTCCTGCTAAGTATGGCTCTTGGTTCCTAGTTGGTGTTCTTCTTTGCCTGTCCTCTCCATCAGCTCCGATTACTCAAGACACCTTTCTCCAAGACAAACTGCTTCAAGTCAGTCTTCTTCCATGAATGCATTGCTGAGGACGTTTGATACGAATGTATTGTCGAAGCCTTTCATGGCCGGAATCACTGGGTTGTTGTAGGTTTTTCCAGGCTATATGGCCATGTTCTAGAGGCATTTTCTCCTGACGTTTCGCCTGCATCTATGGCAAGCATCCTCAGAGGTAGCATCCTCACTACCTCTGAGGATGCTTGTCATAGATGCAGGCGAAACGTCAGGAGAAAATGCCTCTAGGACATGGCCATATAGCCCGGAAAAACCTACAACAACCCAGTTAGATACGAACTTCCCAAATTCAGCCATGATGAAGACTGGGGAGCCTTGGCTGAAGCTATCACTTCTCTGCTTACAAGAACCCTATGGGATTAATTGAAAGATCAAATGAGAATTGTGCCAGGGCTTTACAACTTTGAAAGCAATGTAGAAATGGATAATAGTCATAACGGGAGGTGAAGTTATCACAAAAGGAAGCAACACTATCTTGCAATCAGAAGGATAAAAGTGCCAATTTTCCATTATTTTGGACTACCAGCTGTGCCATGCATTTAGATAATACGTAGTTTGACTTTCAAGTCTCTGTCTAGTTGTTTCCTTTCTCTCTTTGGTGCTGCACCATAAAGAGTGATCTTCCCTGTTTGAAGGACCAGCCCCAAAGGAAGTTCTTATCTACCCTTGGACTTATTTAGTCCTTGTATTACTTATTACCTGAAAAAGGCCTCCCTTGACTCCACGGTGTTGAGCAACTACAGACCAATCTCCAACCTCCCTTTTTTGGGCAAGGTGTTGGAGCGGGTGGTCACCTCTCAGCTGCAGGGCTTTCTGGATGACATCCATTACCTGGACCAATCACAGTCTGGCTTCAGACCTGTCCACGGCACCGAGATGGCTTTGGTCGCCTTGGTGGATGACCTCCGTAGGGAGCTGGACAAGGGGAGTGTGACCCTGCTGGTACTCTTGGATCTCTCAGCGGCTTTCGATACCATCGATCATGGGACGACTCTCCGGGATGGGCCTTGGGAGCACGGTTCTGTCGTGGCTCTAATCCTTCCTAGAGGGCCGTTCCCAGATGGTGAAGCTGGGAGACGCCTACTCGGACCCCTGGCCTTTGACCTGTGGGGTCCCGCAAGGTTCCATTCTGTCTCCCATACTTTTTAACATCTACATGAAACCGCTGGGAGAGGTCATCCGGAGTTTTGGAGTTGGGTGCCATCTCTACACAACTCTACTACTCTTTTCCACCTAATTCCAAGGAAGCCCCTCGGGTGCTGGACGAGTGCCTGGCTGCTGTGGCTGTCTGGATGAGGAGGAACAAGCTGAAGATCAATCCCGACAAGACAGAGGTCCTCCTGGTCGATTGTAAACCGGATCGGGGTATAGGGTGGCAACCTGTGTTGGATGGGGTTACACTCCCCCTGAAGTCACAGGTCTGCAGTTCGGGTCTCTTCACTTACGCTTGAAGCTCAGGCGTCGGCGGTGGCTGGGAGGGCCTTTGCACAATTAAGACTCGTGTGCCAACTGCGACCGTACCTCGTGAAGGCGGATCTGGCCAGGGTGGTCCATGCCTTAGTCACCTCCAGATTAGACTACTGTAATGTACTCTACGTGGAGCTGCCCTTGAAAATGGCTTGGAAATTCCAACTGGTTCAACGGGCAGCGGCCAAATTGTTAACTGGTGCTCCTTACAGGGAGCGATCAACCCTCCAGTTTAAGGAGCTCCATTGGCTGCCGTTCATTTTCCGGTCCCAATACAAGGTGCAGGTGTTTACCTACAAAGCCCTCAACCGTTTGGGACCCGCCTACCTGCGTGACCGCATTTCAGTATATGAACCCATACCATATCGTCGATATTCCAGAGAGGCTCTGCTCGCGATCCCACCTGCATCGCAAGCGCGATTGGTGGGGACAAGGGACAGGACCTTCTCTGTGGTGGCCCCTCGACTCTGGAACTCACTCCCAAAGGATATCAGGCATGCCCAGATGTTGGCAGTCTTTAGGAGGAGCTTGAAAACGTGGCTGTTTCAGTGTGCCTTCCCAGAATAGGAAACTCCAAGCACTTTGTCCCAAATGCACTTTACTAGAGATCTAGGTCTGTCTGCACGCCCTACCTATTCTCCAAAATATCTATCCATTTCACCCGGTCATGCCCAGCTTTTTAAATTTTAGCCTTTACATCTGGCCCTGACATTGGTTTTTAATTGCGTCGTGTTGTTATTATTAATGTTATTGCTTGAGTTTATTTATTGCTGTATTGTTGTCTTGTTTATTGTTGTATTGGGTCTCAGCCTATTGTAAGCCACACCAAGTCCTTCAGGAGATGGTAGTGGGGTACAAATAAAGGTTTATTATTATTATTATATTTATTTATTTACTTACTTATTTATTTACCGCATTTGTATACCGCCTTTCTCAGCCAG